GAAATGCAGAGATGGCTCCAAGCAGGGAAGAAAGATGAGGGCCATTTTGAATTCTAGAGAGGCAGAGAGAGGAGTAACGAGCTGAGAACAAGCTTTTGGCGTGAACCGTAACGTGTAAACTTGTGGCTGATTGATACCGGAAAGGGAAGCCGAGGAAAGGCAACAATAGTACAATGTATAAAAAATTAAACAGTTGGATGAGATTCTTTTTCAAAGTTAACTGAGAGAAGGCTAACGGAGGGGTTTTTGTCTAATGGCCATAGTATAATTTACCATAAACTAATAAACATGCCAAAATGAAACCCTAAGATATGGGGCCATGTGACATTAACTCTAATATTTTTAAATTTCTAATCGACAGCAATGGCTCCCTATTGAAGGATGAATTACTTCCGCGCTCTCCTTATAAAAGGAGGGAAACATCTTTCTCAAGGTGAATGTTAAAAGCTACCTTACTCTACATCAACAAATAGAAGATTAAAATTTTCAAAATATGGGGAGACATGATCTCTATATCCACCCTCAAAACGACTGTTCATCCTCACACAGTTACACTATAAGATAGGTTCCAACGACTACCCATCACCCAACCATACCTATCCATTTAATTTTTTATTCAATGGGGTGCCAATTTAATGGATGGATTTAGGTGGGTTGCAGGTTCATAAATTATATTGCCACCCTTAACAAGATTTTCACATATTTTCATAAATCAAAAAGGTACCATGCCATGCTAGATAGAGAATTATTTTGGTGACTAGGTTACAGGTCAAATGGTTAGGCTATCTGGTTCAATTGCTTGACTTGTTTAAATCAAATGTGAAAATTAAAATTATTTCTAGATTATCTTTTAAGTTATTTTTCATCAAAATTAACTTCAACAATAAACATTAGAGGGTACAACAATACACAATTAACAATGTAAAAACCAAGTACATTGGCAATCCTACCATCTTATCCAAGTCCAGGGCAACATGCATTAGAAGAATCTGGCTATAATGTTGTTGTAAGGTGTATTAACATTTGGCACATGCTGTTAATTCTTGCAACTTAAATTGCAGAAAAGTATCCTTTGTTAGTTAATGAGAGGGGATTTCTAGTCGTTATAAATTTCTATTTGTATTTTAACAAAGATTATGTGATAGAGGATACTAAGCCTATCTCTAGAAAGTATGGGTTCGATCTATTTAATTACAAAAGTATAGTAAAAGCCTATCTATACTATTATATATAAAGCATACCTCTCCTTTCTCCAAACCCCCTTTTCTACTTCCTTCTTAACTCTCTCTCTCTCTTGCATGTAATTTTTGAGCGCCTCAGAGGAAAGGAGATAATTTCACTTTATGTGATGGATGGGAAGGATGAGCTAGGTTTTATTTTATTATTATTATTACTTTTTTTCAAAACCTGCATTCATACATAATGCTTCTGTCAGTTCAGATCACCAACAACTAATTCAAATGGCAACCATAGCGGTAGTTTCAAGTGTGGTGCTTTGAGTTCTCAAAACCTCGTGGGCATGCTTCGGGTGATCATATTCCTCTTTTCTTTTTGTTTTTGTTTTTTTTTTCTGTTCTCAAATTTGTTAATTTTATCCTTCATTTTATTTTTTTTTTTCACAAAGATTTTCTCCTCAGTTTTCTAGAAAATCAAATAGAAAGATAAGTTTGGTATCTTTGAAGAAACCAAATAAAAGCAGACTATCCTTTGCCTAGCCAAGAAGTTCCATAGATTTTTGAGGGGAAAAAAAAAGAGTGAAACAATTTTGTAAACAAGTTCCATGGAGATTGGTTTTCTTAGCTTCTGACATCCTTAGTTTAAGGCGAAGAGCTTCACATGCCTTCTCCCTCAATACATCGACAGTGTCACAAAATTTTCCGTTACTCCCAAGTTCAAGCTTTGCGATATTCACTTTATTGGAAGAAGCTACGCCATCAATATTTACTTTTAGTATATCACCAGTACGAGGTCTCTACTGCTACTTGTTTCATTGTTATGGTGAGGAAACAACTCTTTTCCTTTAAAATATCTTCTTGCGAAGTTGCACCATCATTTCCATGCCTACCTTAGAACAATTCTCAAGAGATCGATTCAACCTCAACAATACATTGCAAATAGGACAAGGCTAGGCAGATATTAAAGAAACAATCTAAGCGTCAAAATATGAAGATGTTAAAAAGGATGAAGAGAAATTGCTATTTCTTTCATTTTTTTTTTTTAATATGACAAGGTCTTTCAGGTTTTAATCGAAAATAAACTAAACCCCCAAAATAATCTTTCAATGTAATTGCTTCTTCTGAAGAACTTTAGTAGTTATTTAAAGCTGTTTATGATTATTTTCTGAAATTCTGATACCTTAAAATTTTAAGCTGGAAATAGCTTTCATGTCTCCTCGTTAAACTTCAATAATACCTAACACACAACACAGAACATCACAGGAGTTTCATAGTACTTCTATTGCTTTAAAGTCTCGTAGTCTCAGTAATCCCATAGTTCAGCAATATAGTTTAAGTTAGGGGTGCAACTTTTCTAGGTTAGGGTTGGGATTTTGTTGGACTTAACCCTGATGTCTAAACCTAAAACAGTAAAAACTGTTAACTCGAGCCAACTCAAATTGCACACCCTAATTTAAGCACGGTAGCATCTGCTCATAAAAAAACACGGTAACATATAGAATTAATCTTGATTCAATTAATGATTAGGAATTTTGCAGCAATAATAATAATGCTTCGGAGTTAGCTCTTAGTACTAATTAATAGGAATCTCAAGTTACTTTTAAAGAGTTAAGGTTTGAAGATAATGTGATCCATCGACGTGCCACGACTTGGGTGGGTCAAGAAGATAGCTCATGGGCCGGGTCCAACTGTCCAAGTAGATCTATGATAGGGTTGACCACAGAATGCAAATGGGCAGATGCTTCAAGACTTGACAAATTGATGGGTAGTCCAGAAGAGATGATCTGTTAATTATTTTATTTTCAAAAGCGCATTGAAAAACACCTCATCAGTGGATTTTTAACAAGCGATTGAACTATTTTTGGCCATTTTCATGTGAATTTTCAGAGACGATGTTGAGATCCAACGTTTTTAATCAGAACTCAAAAAGTGAAGGGCATTGACTTTGGATGGCCCATTTTAAGTCGGTGTAGGAGATCATTATTATAAACGAGTGGAATCCATTCTGTTCTAGTGGATGAAAAAGACGACCTAATCAGGTTTAGGTGACCCATTTTTTTAATTATCCATAATTAGGCCTAATACCCGAAAACCCACGGCCCGATCCGATATCTGATCTGATAATTTCGGATTCGGATGGGTGGATATTACATCGAATCAGATTCGGATGGTGAAAGTAGAATCCAATTAAAAATCGATATATAATATATTTATTTATATAGTGTCATAAATGACATCTAGGAAATCTGTTGTTTCTCAAACCCCCAGCCGGTCAGCCCTAACCAAATATAATACTTGACCGACATTTTCTTTTCTCACTTAGGGTTTTTCATTCTCATTGTTCTTCATAGTTTTCAAAACTGGATCCGACCGGTTTCGTTTCACCTCAAAACCGGATTTTTTCAAAAAATATTGATTTTGATCAATAAACCATTGAACCGGGTAGTTAATTGTTCGAACAGTTTTAATCATTTTTTTTTTTTTATATTTTTTTTTTGTCAGAATGAACGGTTCAACCCAATAACCAAACCCCTGACTGGTTTAATCTACGAATCGGTTTTAAAAGCCATACTTTTCTCTCTCTCCTCTCTCACTATCTTCTGCAACTGCAATAATCTAAAACAATACTCGCCGTTCTCTTTCTATCCTCTCTCACTCTCTTTTGCAACTCTCTGCAACTGCAATAACCTAATACAATATTCGCCGTTCTCTTTCATTTTTCTTCTCCCATTCCCCCCTTTGCAACTACTGTATTAGATTATTGATTTACATCGATTCTAAATGCAGCCTTAGGCTCAGTAATACATACAAGGTTTTGCACTCTACATATTTATATTTATATTTATATTCCTTTTAAACTAAGCCTTATATAGCAGTAGAAAACCTGTATTTTATATTATTTTATATATATTTATAGTTTTATATATGTTTGTATTTGTACTCTTTCCAGTTTCCAAGCCTTATCGCCCCACTTGGACCCCTTCCACAGGCGACCTTACATACACCTTCTTAACTGCCAATCAGTTACAGATACCGTTAAGGCGGTTTTTGCCCGCTCATCGCTCGATGCTTGGCTGTGACAATGCTAACCTTCACGGAATCCCCGCTTTACCTGACGGCGGATATCAAAATCGCGTTCGATAGAGGAGATCACGGTGACGGCGAACCATTTGACGGGGTCCTAGCGACGTTAGTCGACGAGATACCATTGGCAAAGAATTGGGTCGTGGATGATGCGAGGAAGTCGTCGTAGTAGTATACCTTGAGTCGGTTGCCGTTCATCGAGAATGAAGAAGGTTGAGCTTGCAAGAGATGATACTCCGGGGATCCAATTTTTGTACGGCTCCAACTAACGTAACCCAAACACTGAAGTTACTTCATCAACGGCGACAACGATACCATCCAGTCGAGAGAGGGAGTCAACAAGTGGCGGGGTCCCATGATCATGGTGGCTGTTGTTTACCTGTTCTTTACGTACGTTGTAAATTTATTCCATTTTTGCATTTTTATCTGATCATATAATCATTACTTATTAACAACCAATCAAAACCAACAACTATAACTTTTAATTTGTCCATGGATGATATGTTACTGCAGCTACAGAAATTCAAATGCAACAACGAAGGAAGAATAATGACCAGTAATTGCGAATTGCACTATGAATTTACATGTTGCAGAGCTTTTATTAATCGCATTCTCCCTAGCTTATTACTGTAAGCGACTGTAATTCGACCGCCATTAAAAGGCAAGTATTTCTTCGTATGATGTACGGGAGCAGGACGGGCTCGGCCGGGACGGAACAACAAGTTGAAGTGGTACTGGTAATCAATGAATACCGTAAAGAGATTGTATTCCTTGTATGTCGTCTGGGTGCAGATTCACCTTTTGAGATCCCACATCAATGTAGGGAAACATGACAGCACCGTGCTCAGAGCTGTGCCCAAGCCCAAGCAAGTGACCGATTTCGTGCATCGCCACGGATGCCGTGTCAATCCAATCGGCGCGGATACCAGTTGTCCATCGCTCCTCCGAATCGAAATGCACTCTTCCATCAATGGGTGCATAGGCATGAGCAAGAACCCCTCCTGGTCCATCAAACGGATTACCATCGCCGTGATCACCTTTGAAGAATGAAAATCTAATGTCGGCACTGGACAGGTCTTGAGTCTCTTCGAACGTGAAATTGCTTACCGCTGCCCACCTGGCGAATGCCACATAACAAAGTGGATGCATTAATAAATCGTCAACTGGAACAGTAGAATCAAGCACGTATTTGAGATGCATCTTATAAGGTGGCCACTTCGGGGTAGGAGTATTGTTGAAGAAGGTATAATGGGAAGAGAAGCCGAGGGTGGTCTTGCGTCCACTAACACCAAGAAGACGCTTCTCCTTCTTCTCCTTGCCTGATCGCATCCATGTCTCGCCTTTTATGATGTCGGGGACCCCGCATCGAGGCAGCATCATTTGTTTCACCGTCGCCACGTCCAGGCTCCCCGTTTCTTTCAGATTGTAGTTCAGCTGGTATGTCTTGATGGCCGACTCCAAGTGATGGTCGAAATCGTCGTCGTCGTCGTTATGGTGATCGAGGTAGCCGAATCTCTGGAGATAGCGTTTAACTTGGTTGAGACCTTTTACTCTGTCTCCCTTGTGGCATCCTTCTGACTGACGCAGGAACTGAAAGGCTTCTGGTCTGTCAGCTTCGCCATGACCATGAGACTGAGAGAGGAGAGAGAAGACGAGGAGGACGAAGAATGCCAAGAGAGAAGACTGTGTAGCTGCCATTACTTGGATCTGGTTCGTTCACGTATGCTTGGTTTCGTTCTACTTGATTGTCTGCTTATATAGTCAACGTAAGCTTTCTATTTAGGGAAGAAATTAAAGATTTTCAGACCAAATATATTAATAACCATAATCTACGCATGTGTAGCTGTGCTCCCTGTCTCGTCTCTCCTCTCTCCTCTTGCCAGAGGCCCAGAATGTTTCCTTTTCTATGCTTATTTGGAGGGCCCTACGGAAACATGAGACATGAAATCCGGGTCAGTTGGCTCAGGTTGAAGCCTTGAAGGTAAATCTAGGCCAAATCTTAAAGGTGTAAATCTCAAATCCAAGTATACTAATTAATTAATTTATAGTAATTTCTGTTAATAGTAATATGTGCAAATTTAAGATGCAAATCTCAAATTCAAGTCTACTAATTAATTTATTTATAGTAATTTCTGATAGTAATATGTGCAAATATTTATCGAAGACCTGAAGTATAGTGAATCTACGTACGCTAACATAATTTATAGTAAATCGCTGAAACCTCCCCTGAAATTTCGTAATTTCAATACATGCCTTGAACTTTTTGATATAATTGTAAGTACTAAGTAGACCCTCTTTTTTAGAATTTTTACAAAAAGGCATGAAAATGTCTAAAATATCATGCCATTGCTTTTGACCAAAATTCTTATTTTCCAAATTCTATAATTATATGAATTTTTAGCCTAAATCCTTCCAATCTCTTTCCTTAAATTAATTTTTTTTCTAAATTTGCCATTTATATCAATAGCTCAAAGATGAAATTGCAACATCTTTTTGTTTACAAAGTTTGTATTGTTTCCTCCCTAGAAACTAGCCTCAATAATAATTGCATGCATACTTTTGACATTTTTGTACTTTTTGTTAGAGGATCCTAATATAGAGGGTCTACTTGCAATTGTGTCAAAAACCATGGTTTTTAAAAACGAACCGGTCAAGGGTCCGGTTACCGGTTCGAACGGTTCAGCCGTTCAACCCAAACGGCTGGCCCATTCTGACAAAAAAAATAAAAAAATTGGAAAACGGTCAAAACCGTTCGAACGGTTAATTGGCCGGTTTAACGGTTTACTGACCAAAATCAATAGTTTTGGGGGAAAAAACAGTTTTGGAGGAGCGGAGGTGACCGATTCCCGATTTTTCCGGTCTGGTCCGGTTTTGAAAACAGTGTCAAAAACTTTAGGGGACGTTTCAGCAATTTATCCTATAATTTAACATACTTACCATTAATTAACAGTAGTTAATAGAGAGCAGTAATAAATAGCATTACTTAAAAAGTTACAGCTAATTGATAGTAATATATAGAATTCACAATTAAATATTAATGGTTTCATTAAAATTAACTTTCACTAAATTAAATTACCAAAAACATGAAAATTACTTTATGAAAATCACTAAATTAAAATTTCATGATACTTATAGAAAACAAATATATATTAGCAATAATTATGGAAATTATTAATAATTACCAAATGTAAATTATTAATATTAAAGTTATCCAATAATTTTTCATTTGAATAATTACCAAAACCAATTTAAAATACCAAAAATTAACTATGGAAATTATTAAAAAATTCTGATTTAATCTTTTCCAAATTACCAATGATTTCAAATTTAATAACTCTAAAAAATTAAAATTCCACAAAAAATTTCCAAATATAGTTAAAATTCCCAAACAATCCAACTTAATAATTACCAAAATCAATGTAAATTACCAATAATTAATTATGGAAAAACAATTCTCGAAAAATTACAAAAACTTTCAAGCAATAATTATCAATATTGAAAACCTAACCTTCCAAGAATAATTTTTTACTCCAAGAGATAGATACTTTATGTTCAATACACTTATTATTTTTTTCAAGAAACTCACACACACACAACAGAATTCTTGGGTTGAGGAAGAAGAATGGTATTTTCAACCATGAGGGGTAAAATTGGAATTATAATAAAATATAATAAATACTCCATATCACATGTAAATGGCCTTACAAGTTGTATATTGCTCAGTAGCACCCTAGTACATGGTTCTTTGAACCACCGTTTGACCTGGACAATTGGATTGTTTGGTCCAGGAACCGTTTAGGCAACTGGTTCTATTTTACCCCAAACCCAGTCCCTAGCCAAAAAGTCGTTGAATCGGTCAATAACCTGTTGAGTGGTTGAATTGTTGGCCCGTTCAACAGTTTTGGACCGCTTTTATTTTAAATTTTTTTTTTTGTCGGAACTAAATGTCATAAAAGTGGTAACCGATCAAGGTGATATGTTTATCAAAATTCATAGTCGGTCAAAGTTCTTTCAGTATCATGTCTCATTGGCAGCATAATTTTTTTCTATTTATATATAAAAGGATATAGTTATTATGCTTTAGAAAAATTTTATCAAAACTTAACATTGCTTTTTAATTTCTTTGATGCCATCTTAAATTTGTTAGCATAGATGCACACAATTAAATAGATAGATGTACACACGAGTTTGAATTGGTTAAGGCCTCAACCCTAATCCAATCCGAGTTCTGAATAATTCAGGTTCATACTTTTGCACCCCAATGCCCTAAACCAAACTTCAACCCTACCTAATCCAACCAACTTTTTCAGGTAGGTTTGGGTTAACCCGGCCCACGTTGCAGCTAGCCCTAGGAGTATTCTCCTGCTTCGCAAGTCTTTCGTAAGTCCTAATCCAACCCAATTTCCGGTGGTGCATGAAATCCTCTGATACAAGGGTCTTTTTTTGGAGTTCAAATCAGCCCGCCACCAGATTGTCCCCCAAAACGTTCTACAGCATATTTTGCCATGTATTGTGAACATCTTATGTTGATGACATCATCATTTCTGATATCATCATGGGGAGATGTTCCCAATACACGGCTTAAATGTGCTGTGGGACGTTGTGGGGTGCAATCTGGTGGAGGCCTGATTTGCTCTCATTTTTTTTGGTATTCCATACAAGAGTTTAATTAAATAGGCAATATAATAAGAGCTACGTGTAATCAATCAACACGTCAGTACTGATCTGGACATGCTTGAGGAAACTATAGCCAATTAGCCATGCATGAACTGAGATTGGGCACTTGGTTGGACTTGGGCACAGCTCCGTTAAGAATGCTATCATGTACCCCACCGCTCCTCCTATCGGAACTCAGAAACTGAACCTGCACCTGGATGACATCGTACGTCAGAATAAAATGCTTGTACCGTTGAATATTGGTACGTACGTAGGAGGGGTGCTAGCTCTTGCTGCGAATAAGCCGATCGATGTATGATGTATCCAGGTCGACAAAATAATGACTACGTTTGAAGTGGAATTGAATGAATTTGCCACGTGTGACGGTTGTGAAATAAAAACTTTGTTTCAAAATATAAGTGTGGAGTTCGACTACTTTTGGCTCCATTCCCGCTTGTAATGCAATTTAATTCCATTTGCAATATTATGAATGTATGGGAGTACAAATTATTAAATTTTCTCGATCCATCTGCATTTTACTTTATTTTACATATTATTAATTTCATCTTATTTCATTCACACTGCAAACTAACAAACAGAACAGACTAATTCTTCTAATAAATCATCTAAATCACAAAGAGCTGGAGCTTGAGCTGCTATTAAATAAAATATAATCCTCAAGCGTACAAGGATCTTATTCCGTCGATGTCATCCTGGTCCAGCTTCAGCTTCTGGGTTCCCATAAGAAGGCTGGGGTACATGATGGAGTTCCCAACGGAGCTGTGCCCGAGTCCAAGCAAGTGCCCAATCTCGTGCATGGCCACGGATTCCACATCATACCCATCCAAGCTCGCACCAATATACCATTTCTCATCTGCGTCGTAATGAAACCTTCCATCTGTGGGTGCATAAGCATGAGCAAGAACGCCACCAGGCCCATCAAATGGATATTTGTCTCCGTGGTCACCTCTCTCAAAGCTGATCTTAATATCGGCTGTAAGATAATCCTGAGTCTCTTGAAACCTGAAACGACTCACAGCTGCCCACCTCTGGAAAGCTCTATCACACACAGGTCTCATGGAACTCACCGGGGTTCCAGGAAGAAATGCGTAGGTGAGAAGGGTCTTCGAAGGTGGCCACCTTGGGATGCCGGAGAAGAAGGAATAACGGGAAACAGTGTGGAGGGTTTTGCGTTCATGAGGGTGCTTCTTCTCCTTGCCCGATCGCATTGACGTTGTGCCATTCGTGATGTCGGGGGCTCCACATCTAGGCAAGCTCATCTGTTTCAAGGTCTCGGGGTCTAGGCTCCCTGTGACGTTCAGGTTGTAATTGAGTTGATAAGTCTTGATGGCCAACTCCAACAAATCATCGAAATCGTCATCGTCCTTGTGGTTGTTCAGGTACCCAAATCTCTCCAGATACCGTTTAAGCTCGTTGAGACCTTTTACAGTTTCTCCCTTGCGACAACCCTCTAAATGCCGGAGGAACTCGAAAGGTCGTGACCTGTCATCTTTGCCATGAGAGAGGAGTGGAAGGAGGAGGAGAATGAGTGCCAAGACAAGAGACAATCTGTGAGCCATTTGGTGGTAATTAATTAGTTGTTGCATTCGATCAAGGATGTTGGTTCTTCACCCTTCTAGTACTCTGCTATTTATATATAGATTGATAGATACACAATATCCCACAGCACAGAACAGAAAACGCTTATTCATTTTTTTTTATTTATTTTCTTTTTCGTATTAAAGAAGACATTAGAAGGAATCGTGGAAAAATCAAAGTCTCATCTCATCAGCAGTCATAGAACAACAAAGTCTTCTCTCAAGTTCGGTTGCCATGATGAGATACCTCTAATCAACCAATGGATGGAGGCATCCCCTAACCAATACATATTGATCAAAGTCAATACCATAGACATTGCTGAGGTCAACTCAATAGCCTAAGTTTTGTACGATTCAGATTAGTGATGACAGGAAATTAAAAAACCAAACAAGAAAGAGAGGAAGAACATATATTCTCATCAAGGGATATTAATTGTTAGTCGGTACAAGCTTTTCCCATTGTTTATTCGAGGATTTGCAACAAAGACTTTGAAAATCCGGGAAAGAGAAGAAAAAAAATAGGGTTTTGGATATTGATGCATGCTTGCTTCAAGTCTTCAACAATGCTTGAGAATTTAGGCAAGCGAGATGCAACAGATTATAAAGACATCTAAAATACGGGCAAGGAATGACAAGCCAACATTCCTGAAATTCAGCTTTTAACTCCAATCTGATCTCGAATGGGTTGGACTGACTGTCACTGATAATAGCTCAAATCAATTGCGAGCATTATGCATATAGTACACATACATTAATTATGGATATGCTAATGGGTCGGCTCTATCCGACTGCCCGAACTGAACTGAACCAATAATATATTGGTTTTGGTTCCATGATTTTGTTCTAGCCTCAATATAGATTTGGACCTGGAACCAATTATTATTAAATTTATAAGATTTTCTTAAGTTTTTATAATTTTTATCATATTTTATGTTTAAAATGATAAATTTGATGAATAATATATAAGATAGTATTAATTAAAAATATTTAATTGATTAACAATTAGTATTTTACTATAACATCAATATTATCAAATTTTTAAATTTTAAGTTATTATTTAAATAAATAGCTATTGTTTCGGTATACTTGAGTGTGGACCCAAGATTCTAAGTCTGCGATTTTGTCTCGACTAGTAAACGGTTCAGGACTGAGACCACCCTGTCCCGATCCCGATCCCGATCCAGATCCGACCATTAACAACCCTAATGTCATGTGTCTTTTCATGAGTCCCATCCTATGGTATGGCTCAAAGCATAAGCTCTTAACTGGTTAACAACAGTTGAGAAGAGTCCTTAGCAAAGTTTGGTAAGCAGTTGATGTTTTGTGATGAAAGAAAGCTGCTAATGGCGTAAAAGGAATAAAATTGAGGTAATTAAAGGAATAATATATGTTAAGAAGGATATATAAAGGATATACAAGTAATTAACTTTTTCTTAATTAATGTTCAGAAAAGGGTTTAAATACAAAGAGAAGCTTGAGGTAACGTCGGCCAGTCAGCCGAACAACCACCACCTCTAGTTCTACCGTTGTCATTCGCCAGTAGGTTGCTTGAAAGCGGAAAACCAGGCGATGAACCTTTCCAAACGGATACTAGTAGATGTACTATATATTTGTACTACTTAATCTCATAGTATATTATCTTCCAATACTTTGAACAAGCAAATGTGAGCCACCTAATCATTCTTTAGTTTATAGTTTATAGTAGGGAAAAAAAACATTATTTAGTTTAATGATTTCTTTAAAACTTAGGGGTGGTAATTTGTACTCCTTCGGGAGGGCTTTCATGCAGCGGCTTTTAAAGTTGTGTGAGCGAAAAAACCCGAGTTGTTAAATCCTGGCAGCTAAAAATTGCCTTACATGAGCCCAAAAAATTGACTTTTGGTGAAGCTATTGTAAGTGGCTTCCATTTTTATCACTGCAAAAACCATTCCAAATGAATTTTTCATTCCAAATCCACTAACCCACCCATTTATTTAGCAAGTTGGGGAACAGTTAAATCACCTATTGGATCAACTTAAGATTTGGAATTTGTTCCTCATACCAACCTCACAACCACATCCCATCATGTATTAGGAACATTTCCTATAAATATTTACATACAAAAATGGGAAATGTTCCTGATGTACGATTGGGACATGCTGTGAGGTCAGTGTGAGGAGTGCTGAAGAGCAGATCCAAACTTTAAATGGATTGGTAGGTTGAGCCAATAACAACCTCGAAGATCAATCTGGCTGGGACTAGCAACCATCCTCAAAAATTAATGGCCCCCATCAGGCGATTTTGCCAGCAGACCAATTAATTAAGCCGAGATATATCGCCGCACCAAACCCAAATTAAGTGTTCGACCACATGATTGCTTTCGTTTTTCAAAACCAAAACTGCAATAAGTGATGTGGCAACTGTTTTTGCTTTCAAAAATAAAACCAATCATATTGTCCAACACCCACTAAGTATATCGTTTTATTTTATTTTTCACATAAACTCACAATATTGAGCGAAATTGAGTCATCCAAAGTTCCAAACGATCTGGGAAAGCTGGAGCAACCAATCCCATGGGCCATGTGAATCCAAGGTCCAGGTCTCAAAACGTTGGTAATATAAAATCATTGCCGACTTCAGGGCCAGGTTTGAATTACAAAATCATGCTAGAGCTAGCCAAATTGGCCCAAAATATATGTATAATATCAGACCATGATTTGGAACCCAATAGCTTATTAATTCGCCACCCTAATCAAGCTTCAAAACATCAATACGTCCAATACGCCAAAAGGCATATCGGGCAATATCGATAGCTTTTTGTTTTCTTTTTTTTAGTTTTTTTAAATCTGATTCAGAAGGGCCGATTTAAGGTCCACCCACCCCCTGAATTGATCAAAACCCCGATACACCCTGTAGGAACGTATCGGAAAGCTCCCAATACAATACATATCTATACTTTAAACCTTACCTCTAACATCCAGAAAATGTATTCCGCTGGTAAATAAATACATAACGCGAGGGGAAAATCAAAGTGTCACTAAATTGTGAGTGACTGAGTGCCCATGATATACAGGTTTGGACTGTGTGTAACGCATCACAAGATTTCCCCAATGAGATGAAAACAGCAGTTCAAAATATAAAACCAAAAGACTTGTATGAATTACGAAATTCTTAATTAATAGTCCCATCAAAAAATATTACATCACAAAGGCTATATTTTGTAGATTGCTTTTACGTAACTAAATATGTTTAGCTCTCCAATCTACAGCAAAATCATCATCATTGTCATCTTCGTCACTAAATGACTCCTCGTTGATGGGCTCCTTGTTTGTCGTTACAGGAACTTCCTTTCTGGCAAGCATAGCAGCCTTTAGTTCCATTTGCTTCTTCCTTAACATCTCCACTCTTTCCCAATAAGCCCTACAACAAAGAAGAGAAAACTTGAGGAAAACGATACAAGGATAAACAAATACTGAATGGCCCAAAGAGGAGGCAAGAACAAGACATTTATAACTTTTGGGTCCAGAACTCACTTTTGCTCCAAAGACTCGGCTCCTTCTATCACTTCAGCTGCATCAAACTGCATTTCCAATACCAAATTAGTTCAGTAAAAGGTTATCACATTAGAATGTCTTAACTAAAAAATGGAAGATATCATTATTCTCCAGATCGGTAAAACTTTTGATCAGGATGAATTGAAACTCACCTCTTCTTCCTCCAAACGGTCATCTACTTCCTGCAAATCCCCTTGGATGACCTTTTCAAATTCCTTGTACTCATCCCTGAAGAAGTTTTAGCATAGTTTTATGATTGTTCTTAAACGAATAGGGCATAGTTTCAGTTTTAATGTCAAGGAGTACAAACAGGTAATGGTGCATGACAGATACAGGTGGTTTTCAGTTTTTCACCCAGTATTGAGACAACAGAAATCTGCAGTGTGAGACAGCAATAATGGAAAACCCCACCCAAATGCAAATTCCTGACCATGGATCCATCTATATTTTAGATAAGAAATCTACAACACAAAGTATTAATAGCCAGTGGCTGAGGAATTCGGATTAGCTGAATGCTTTAGCTGTTCAGCGGGCTGTGGAACCAATGATGAGGTTCCACGCTAGTAATAAATTCATGGGCCCCACTGTAAAAAATGTGGGCCCCATGTATTTAAATACTGGCGTGGAACCTCATCATTGGTTCCACAGCCTGCTGAACAGCTAAAGCGTTCAGCTAAACCTTGCTCCTGGCTGAGATTACCCAAAACAGCAACATACAACACAGGCAATATGCACAGAAAATAAAGACAAAGGAACTTACTTGATGTCAACTTTTACAGGCTCAATGCCACGTGCACGTAGATCAGCATCCTTATTATCAAAAAAACCTTCTGGAAGAGCTCCCTTGGCTTGCTTCAGTTCTGTACCACCCAGATTTGTCGATGTGTAGGTGAGCTGGCTGGAGGATTTAATTTCACTTCGACCCTTTGCATCTACTATATGAACATTAGATAGTCCATCTATCTTGCTTTTAAAGTCAGAAGGCTCAACACGATGAGTTAGAGAAGAACTAGCTGGTTTCCCATATTCATTAAGAGAACCAGAACCTACCAACTTGACAGAAGCTTGCGGAGCACCAGAATTAACCTTGCTTCCAATATCTGATCCTAGAAATATGCCAATAAGTTACATTACTCATCAGTTCAATATCTTGGTGACTTTGTCAGATAGATTTAAGTCCACTTCTGAAGATAAGAAACATTAAAAAATTACTTATCAACTTGGTAAACAAACAAATATGAAAAAAGAAAAAAGAAAAAAAAAAAAAAAAACTAAAACAGAATCACAGATAAAGATAATCTAAATAACAAATATGCATTTGCAGGCAATCAATTGATATGTATTAACCTGAAGCTTACATAAATGCCTGTTCTGTTCCTAGCAGAATAATAGGTGCTTCGCTCTCCAAAATAGCATGGAATTTTTCATAATCGTGATCCCACAATAATTTGTGCAACTTTGTGTATCTCTTTTATTCATATATAAAAGCATTGGTTTTATGAGATTATAAGAAATGATAGAAAAATGGAAGAGAGCACCATCTATTAATAAAAGAAAGATAAACCCACATCTGTCCAAAATAGACAGATGGGGAAGTACAAAGGCAGCATCAAGCTGATCACACGGAAATGGATAATACAACAAGATTACAAACAAGGATTATGATACGTCTGATACGGGGCGAATCATATCGGTATCGGTTAGTAGTGGTACGGGATACGCTACAAATAGAAATGTATCCCATAAGTCGTCCGTATCCAACCGATATAAATGTGTATCTGCCAATATGCACCGAAACGGGCCAATACATGTGATATGCAGCATATCTTTTCTCAACAAAAATGCAATAAGGTGACTCGAACTCAAGTCACCTAAAGCATGTCAATCTTTCGGCACGATTTTAAACCACCGAACCACATTTCATTTTGTGATAATAAATGAAACAACATAAATTTTACTAATACATGTTTATATTTAACAAAAAAACACATGTAAAATAGTATTTTATAAACTAATAGAACAAATAATCCATCAAATCCATATTTATATAAAAAGATAATTTTCAATATCAAGAAATTTATACAAACAAAATATTAATAACAGAATAATTATTTTAATAATTAAAATTTATAAATTTGCACTTGATATGCATCTTAAAATTTTTATACATTTTACAAATTATTAATTAATATTTTAATTTAATAAGTAATAACAACATATTTATTATTTACAAAAAATAAAAATATTGTTTACAAAATATTAAAAAATATAATATTAAATTGAATCTATCAAATCCATTAATCTACGTTTATTTCAAAAAAAATATTTTTTATTTCATATAATTTATAGAAATAAAAATATTAACAATGGAATAATTACTTAAGTAATTAAAATTATGAATTTGCATATCACATGTATCTTAGAAATTTTAACAAATTTGATATGCTTTAAGTAAACACTATATTTTTATAAATTATTAATTGATATTTTAATTTGCATTTGATAATTTAATATTTATTTATTTTTTGTTAATATTAAAATTAAAAACAATTTATATAATAATTAAAATATCATAGGTGCATATATTTAGTGTCTTGGACTCTTGATTGATGCATTATAAATAAAATTATATGATATCTACGCATCCTAGTATATTAATTGTAATATATTTCTTCATATATACCATTAAAATTTTGTGTTTATATACTATTTATGACTATTTTAGTCTTAAACTTAGTGTCTTAATGTATTTATGGAAGTTGTATGTATTTCCCTAGTGTGTCCATGTATTTCCCTAGTGTGTCCATGTATTTGTATCCATATCTGTATCCAAGTTTTCCAATATGATACTCGATACCAATACTTTAATCCTTGATTACAAATGGACCCCTGGTTCAGGCATTCCCCAATAACACCCCTGACAGTTCACCCCAGCTTGAGCTAAACTGTCAACTAGGGAGTTAGCTGATCTTGGGACCCACTTAAATGAGCACTTCAGGTTTCTTCCCAGATTTTTGGTCTCTCTAGCCAGAACTCTAAATTCAATCCTCATGCCCAAAATTCAACTTAACCACCTGATGCAACAAGGTACAGACAAATAAACAAACAAAATGAGATCAATAATACATACTCACCAGTTTTTGGCTTCTTTGCCTCAGGATTATCAAAAAATCCTTCTGGTAAAGCTGATGATGACCGAGGTTTATGCAACTCTTTTTGGGGCTCAGATTTAGGTTTATGCAACTCCATAGATGACTCAGCTTTAAGTTTGCTAGATTCTTCATGAGGCTGAAATTTTCCATCAGAAATTTGAGATCGCCCAGCTGCAGCAGCCTTGATATTATTAATTGCCTGAATATAAGCATACTTTAATCAACATACTTAGTTACACATACCACTCATGAAAAAACATTATCACTGATTGTGGACACTACTACTTGTTGTCTTTTACAAAATAAACAAACCATTTCATGGTAAAGTGACTTATGTATAAAATATAGGAATTATGTTATCAAGGTCTAAGAGGACATAAAAAGAATGTACTGATATCTTTCTGTGAGACAGAAGATAGACATTTACTTACATAATTTCAGAAATAAATAAACAAATAAAATAACATTCCTATGTGCCAAGAAAACTCTCAAAAGATTCTATTGAAAGCTAAGCTTGAAAAAAGAGCAAGAGTTTTAGATCCACTAGAATGCATTGAGAATCAGTGAATAAGGAAAAAGAGGAAAACAAACCTCTTAACCCAGCATAGGTCATCCAGAGAATCATAACCTGGTTCAGTGGTTTCTAGATCAGCAAAATTCATCCTCGGATTGATATTTTCCTTGGGATTTGAGTTTATGGAGGTAGGGGGTAATGCAGATAATCACTAGATATAAGGATGAGAGATGGCTCCAATGGCTCCTGGAGAATGAGACAACTGATTAGGGAGACAGACCCTTGGCATTCAAAGTGAACATCTTGTCCAATAATAGAAGTATCCAAGGTCCATTGCTGTATTCCCTTTTATTGTTCAAAATCAGAGTGGACATCCAGAGTGGAATGACCAGGCTCTGTTGTACTAGAAGCTGAATCAGAAGATATTCCAGGAGTCATACGTGTGTTCCTTCTTATTTTTCTCTGTGGATCTGGGTATCCTACTCCTTTCTTCGGAGTGGCAGTTGTATATTGTACTTACATTACCACACTGGCAAGCACAGAATTTGGGTTTGACACTGAGAGTGGCCACTTAGTGCCGAAAAAACACAAAAACAAAAGCAAAAACAAAATAAAAAGCCAAAGTTTAGGTCCATATCCAGTGCAACCCATTACTCTAAAGCCTATACAAATTATTCAAGAGTCACAATCTGGTTCAATAATTTTTAAACAAGGCAATACTCATTCATCCAGGCCTTCATGAAACTTTCATAGGCTAAACAAAATGCCTGATGACCTGAAAGCTAATTTTTTGGATTTCTCTCTAGATTTTGTCCACATGATCGTTTAGTCATTGCCCCTGTGTCATGCATTTAAAATTGGAGTTTTATTTATTTATTTGTTGGGGATAGCAAAGTTAGGATTTAAACTGCTCTAGATGTTCCACAATAAGATATTTGTTGCATAAACGAAGCATGTGAAAAGCCTCTTGGGTATACATTGTTGGCATAGGCATGGTTACTTCCAAAGCATAATGTAGTCATTCCAATGCCCAAAATAAAATCTTTAATGAATTTAGAAGACTTACAAGTGGTACACAACACAAAAAATTCCTACATGCTTCCTATTAGTTCGTTCATCAAATGACAACATTAATAACACTTAAATCCCTTAAGCCATTCTAACATGGGAAACTATCACTCTAAATATAAGCAAATGAAACTAAGATAGTAAGATGCAACAAGTTCTGCTCATAAACAATGTATTTGTTAAGATTCTCCTAATCTCCTTTCCAATATCAAGGCAGAAAAAGCTTACATATTGTTACTGTTCCATCATATAGAGGAGCAGTGATATAAGATAGCAATGTGACATAAAACACAAAAGTGAAGGTTTTAATTGGAAATGATGATGCGACACTTGTAAAGGACAATAGGAGAACTTCAATCTAAGCTGTTTGGCTAAAAGAAGTTTCACATATACATATCGTCCTCTCAAAAGCAAGTATTTCAGGACAAAATACTAAGCAAATATAAACCATCTGGAAGCCCCACAGTTGGAATACTCCATGATTACAATTATTCAGCGAAGTATAACCTCATGATGTTTACGGGAAGCTTGGTGTGCAGGCCAGAGGGATTCAGACTTCAAAGTGACATCACAAACCCTGCAGACAGGTTGGTCATGTTCATTGTACCTGCAATTGGTGGGGGGTGGGGGAGTAGAGTAAATCAGAACTTGAAGGATTATACTTCTCAATTAATGCATGGATAGTCAGCCTTCTTTACCATTACGGATTTACCACCAAAGTGTCTACATTGAGCTAGAATATTTTATTTAAAAACAAAGCCCCTTGTATGCATGAATTCATCTAACTTATTTGACTCGTATAGATTCTTGGGAATCATAAGATACATTATAGTTACATTTACATTTACACCATGATTATCACTTTATCAGGTTATGACAATGTTGCCACTGGTAATGCAAAACTCCTTTCCACTTTCAGACTTCTGAACAAAAATTCCTTTACCCCATAGATCTAGTACAAATTTATGAATCATCATATTTCTATTTTTCAATTGTGCCAAATAGATGGTTATTACATTTCCATAATGTTGCCACTGGTATGCATATCTATGCACACCAAATAGATGGTTATTACATTTCCATAATAGAATGATTATTCAAATTTTCCTCTTTAAATTATAATCCTATGAAAACTTCTTCAGTCATCATAATCTGTGGACATTCTTTGGTTCTCCAACATCAGTGAAGGGCAGACATTGAAAGCGTGACACAAACACCTAGAATATTTAAAATTCCAGCAAACTTACAAGTTACATCTCATGCTGGATTTTCTTTTTTTTTTTCCTTTTCTTGATAAATTTTTTTCAATGCTAGATATTGTTGAAACTAAATACATATTGTGTTTGCATTTTCATTTCAAAGGTTTTTACATTAGGCATTTCAACACTTCAAAGCTAAACCCATATGGCATAAACAATATCAGAATGTAAGGGCCAATCTAGATGATGTCACCTTAAGAAAACAGCGGATGGAAAAACAGTGAATCACTTGTTTATAAATCGTATTTTTGCATCATTAATCTGGAATTACTTTTTTTTTTTACTCTCTATTTGATAGTGAATATTCTCTTCCTAAAAAACTAAACAGCGTTCCATGGAGATGGCTCTAGTGCCCTTTTGTCCTCAAGGGCCAGATAATGTGGAAATGCCCTACAAGGCACTGTGCAAATCAATATCTACTAGGGAGCAAGAGTGTTTGTTCTCCAATGACACATGAAGAGTTGTTGAAAATGAGGTTAATATTTGCATGCTAAGCAGTAGTATATACAGTATCATATGAACAGGCATATGCTTTCCTCCATTTTATTTGGGCAACCATTTACAAACGTGTTTTCTGGTTGATTGGTCAAGAAATCTTAATTTAGAATGTACAAAAATTATTCTAACCAAGGTTCAAAATATTGACACACAATACCAAAAAACTGGGTATCGTATGTATCAATTGGTCGATACACATATGATATTATGTTTATTTTTTTCAGCCTGATAATTGAGAGATAGGCTGATCAAGATGACTACTATCATCTGAAAGTTTCAAAACCCCCAAACTATCAGTGTTATGTGTGTCAGTGGCCTTCGAAACCAATACAATACACCCCATATTGGGCATAGCATATCAATAATTTGAACCCTGATTCTAACCAAACACTATCCTCACGGAGCAATGGATTTCAGCAAGTAATTTTAATCATGGTTCAAAGTACACCTTTGTGTATCGGCAGAAGCATATTGGTACTTTAAACCATGCACCTTTTTTTGTAGTTATTTTCCAAATTAAAGTTTTATGTTTATTTTTATATATATTATTCTTTTTTTTTTTTGAGAGAGAGAGAGAAGGTAAAGTAATGATTTGTATTAATACTACACTGTAAACACGGTATGCTCAACATGTACAGCCAGGAACTATACATCAGATTCAACAAACGACCCTAAAAAATCTTCTTAGAACCAAAAAGTGCTCGAAAGCAGGTCAAATGATACTAATCAACTTATCTGACTAGCCGAATAGGATGCTGTTATCAAAAAATTGACCATGGGGAATTCTTCTGAAGAGATCTGCGACTGACAAACCACAACTCACCCTTTCAAAAATCCTTCTATTCATCTCCTTCCACAGCCCCCAACATATAACATGGGGGACTGTGCTCCACAACAGCTTCTCTTTTCGGTTTAACCCCGGCAACTTCCAGGACTGCAAGAGCTCAAACAAACACCTTGGCTGACACCAACTTACATTCAGCAACCTACAGACATGGTTGAACAAAAGACTGGCTGCATGGCAGTGCAGGAAAAGATGAACACAAATCACACACTCCAAAGAGTTCAGAGACATTCCCCTTCTTGCTAGCTGAACCTTTGATAGGCACTTGCCATTCACAGCTGCCCACATGAAGAAGTTTATCTTGGAAGGAATATGTAAAACTCAAACCTCCTTCCAAGGAAAATCCAGAGTGGGTAAGTCTACAAGATTCTCATAGAGGGATTTGACAGAAAATTTACCCTCTTTGGACCTTCTCCAAATTCTTTCATCCTGCCGAGTCCAAGAAAGTTTTTGAGCAAGGAGAGGTTGGAGTAGTTACCAGATCAGAAATCTACCAGTCATTAAGTTGCCGCCTGAAAGTTGAGCTCCAAACTCCCTCATTTCCGACCCAACCTATCTGATCTGCAACCAGAGCATCTCTTTTATGTGCTAGCAAAAATAGGGAAGGAAATTCATTCATCAAAGCACCATTACTGCACCAGGGGTCAAGCCAGAACCAAGTCCATCTTCCATCCCCAACCTTTAACTTAATCCCCCGGATGAAACTTGAGAAAGTTTTCTCTATTCCTTTCCAAACTGAGAAACCAACCAAAGAGATATCATTACCTGGGTCCCAACCATTACTGCTCAAGCCAAATTTCTCCTCAACTAACCGCCTCCATAAACTAAGAGGCTGAGCATTAAATAGCCAGAACCACCTCCCTAGCAAAGCTGTATTCATCTTCTTCAAATTTCTCACACCCAAGCCACCTGCTGAAATAGGCTTACAAACAGTCCCCCAGTTCACTTGATGGATTTTCTGTCCACCTCCCTTGCCACACCACAAGAAATCCCTCTGCAACTCTAGCCTATCAGCCACTTTGGCTGGAATAGGAAAACACCTGTAAACAGGTGTATCGCGTACCCAAAGATACAAAACGATACGCCCAATACGGGTGTATAGTATCAATACTTTAGAATCTCGATTTTAATTGGTTCCTTATATATATTCATAACTTCCCGGTTGATCATGTTTAATTTAGAAGTTAGAACTGCATGAAATTTTCATACACTACTAGCTTCTGTAAGTTAACTTGCTGAATTGGAGGCCTATATTTTGAAGTACAGCCTACACAATCCAAGCCAGTGATCTAGATAAGCTAAACTATAATATTACTTTCATGAGAAAATAGACCATGTGGGAGTAATGAGGCACATTTCTTGTCCAAGAAATTGTCTAAGTTTTATAAATTATTTTGCTGCAGGCAAAAGTTCATGTAATTCTCAGGTACTGAATGACACCGAGAGGTAGGGGTGTCAATTGGACCGGATTTGGTCCAATCCTATCCAGTCCAAATATGAGTCCATTACAGATGGACTGGGTCCAATCCAATCCAATGAATACTCTGGACCTTTTTTTTTGAGAAAAGGTAAGGTAAATTTTATTGATATAAAATACTAGTACAAAGGGACCCCCCCCCCCCAAGGAAAACACCTTAGTAGGGGACACAGCCCAAACAGAACAAGATTACAGATGTCATAGGCTCCTAGAATTCAGCCTAGCCCCCAACTGAGAAGCTTGAATCCCCTTCGAAGCAGAGACCCAAGAAATCAGCTTTCCGAAAGAAATACTCTGGACCATTTTGGACCAGTCCAGTTCAATGTCTGGACCGTTCAAACTGTTCAAATTGATTTTAATTTAGACTGTTCAAGGGACTGGATATTGATTCAATCTGATCCAACCAATATAAATCCATTACGGACGGGACCAGGTCCAATCCAATCCAATAAATACTTTTGACCATTAAGCCTGGACAGATCCAATTCAATATGTCTTATTAGTCCGTCCAATCCATACAAATTGATTTCGATTTGGATGGGGCCCAACCCAAAACCAGCCCGTTGACATAGAGGAATGTTCAGGTACAGGTGATTGCTTGGCATAAAATGTACAGTTTGCAGCAAGGTTTGCACAGGGGTGATGTGTCAGGTTGAAATCAGTGAAGCAACCAGAGATCAAAACAGTTTTTTTTTTTTTGCCAACAGATTTAAATAAAACATCAAACTGAAGGAAAGGTTGGCAGGAGACCAACTGGGTCTCCTTTGGTACGGGTTTCTCAGAAAGACAATGGTTCAGATTTGGCTTTGCTTTGCTTTATCCATTTATTGATAATGATGGAAATAAGGTTTCAAGTGAGGCTGAAGTGTGGAATTAAACATCTTACCCATACATTGAGCTCTCAATCAGAAGATTGGCTATGAACTTGAGCCAGACAAGTTAATGAATGCCACCAAGGCATTGGAAACTAAAGTTGATGATACCTCAGAGGTGGAGCAAGAAAGTAGTTTGGTGGGTAAGGCTAAGGGAGTTAAAAGTCATTGACTCATTGATTGGTCTATGTTCCCAAGATCTTTTGGTGAATGAGGAATGCTTTTTGAAGCACGAACTAGAAACAAATATAAAGTGGTTTAAGAAAAGAAAATTTTGCAGGTTTAATGCTGGAGAGGCTCATTGTCAGGTCTGATAGGACGATTTTTGTTTGGGAGGCAAGACAGTGGTAGAGGAGTGACAGATTTTGAGTCTACAAGTAGTCCAATCAGAGATCTGATAAGGTTGAGTTGGTTGAGAAAGAGGAGTTGGAAGCTGACCATTTCAGGCACTAAGAAATCATGTTCTAAGCTTCTAATGTTCCCAATCTAAAAATTATGTCAAATCCAGTAGTAGTGCTTCCTCAAAGAGTGCAGGTTTCTTAAAGAGGGTCCTCCGTGGAGGTTCCTTCACAAGAATGAATATATTTGAATTATTGTATTAAGCTTCTTATATGGCCTCATGTACAATAACTGATTTGAACCTGCCTTCACAATTTCCTGATATGTTTTAGGTGCTACACAAGATGAGTTTGGTATTCATCTGCTACTATCACCAGCTAATTATAATTCCATCTATATTGTAATCAGCTAACCACTATGCCAAAATGTACCTCACATGTGCTGGACCTAGGTAGTATCAATAAAACCAAGATAAAGAAAAACTAAAAACAAAGATCAGAAAGAATACGTTCAATTACGAGCATATCCATCTATTATTGGGATTTAAAAAAGTAATAGTAATAATAATAATAATAATAGAAGTTCACCTAACAAGGGGAGAACCCCTGCATTATTAAAGAGAGGTTCACCTTACAAGGGGAGAATCTATGCGTTTGTCCCGCTTCTGAGAAGATTCTTTCAATTTAGCACGAAATAAGGCCTTCTTTGCTTGAGCATCCATTGATAATACAAGAAACAAATTCCAAGGCAAATGCAAACAGATGAATCCAACCTAATTAGTCTGACAAAAAATAGAATTCTTTGGTCAAAAGAATAAACAACACTGAATCAAGATGCAAAAACCACAACCACCAGTAGGAAGAGAGAGAAAAAAAGTGTGAGATGGTTTCCCACATTTTAACTCTCATTTGGAGAAAATCTAAGAAATACACATATAACAGTCATAAGAAGTATTTTTCCTTTGTGAACTGTTTGGGTAAACAAACAGAGCATGCAACCCAATAACAACTTAATTTTGTGAGTTTTAGATAGTAACGTTCCAAAAACAGTGTCTTTGGACAGACCTCTGAGTGTTCAACTACTTTTGTTCCTTCTCAATTGTTGCTATTATGCTGATTCAATAGATACACTACAGTAAAGCAGGACTTTTATCAATATTTATAGCTGAATATACACTAATTTTATAAAATATTTCCATACTACAAGAACTCTCTACAGTGCTCTAATCCTTCAGCCAGCGATTTATGGAAGAGAAAGGGGAATTTCGTTCATCTTTATTGAGATATATCGTCAGAAAATGGAGTGAACCAGAATAACCAAACACCTAGTATACATGAGTAATCAAAAACCAGATTACAAAGTAAATCTTGACTTTCTTGCAAAGGCAGAAGCAACAAATAGGAACCAGATTTAACCTTTACTGCAGAGACTAACAAGTTTATCACAAAGCAATAATCTTTTCTCTAACAATTCGTAGAGGAAATAGAAAATAAAAGAAGCAGAAAAACAAGGATGGTTCAAATTAGAAAAATACCTGGTTAATTAAATGACACATAATACTCTCCCTCCTTCGCAATATGGTTTTCTTCTTCACAGAGGAAGGCCAAAGGCAAAAGCTCTGGCTCTGTGGTTACAGGACCCCTGAAACGGTGTATAGTCTGGACTTCAATTTACAAGCATGACCAATGGGCCAATCAAACAAGTGTGGCCCAGTCGAGATCCACTGGGCCAAAACCCAAAGGCAGAGTACATGTACAAATACGTAGAGTGCAAAACTTCATATTAAAACATTCTTGTATTTTGTATGTATTTGTATTTATACTCGGCATGAATTCTGCACTGTAATACAAATTTCAAATGGCAAGTTAGTCTCCTCCTTTGAGGGTGAACTCCGACGCTGGCTTGGGCGGACCATTCTCCAAATCAACGGGTCGACTCAGCCCCCGTACTGAACAGGAACGCTCTCCAGCCTTATAAACTTAGGCTGTGTTTGTTTGAGGTGTAAAGGCAAAACCCCGTCGGTGTAAAAGAAGACTGGTCCAACATGTAACCGCAAAAAATGAACCGGATAGATGCAGCTTTTACACTGCTGTGCGTTTGGAAGTGTTATGATTCGGCCTGCCTTGGAGTTCTATTTGTCCGAGATCGATTATGTAGAAAGAGGTAGAAATGTGGAAGAAAGAGAGAAAGAGAAAAGGAGAAAGTCTGGTTCGAACTGGAAGTCTCAAGAACATAACTCCCATTCGGCCAGACAGTTCTTTTTATTATTAAAAATAATTGAAAAGACATATGTGCCCTTATTAAGGAAGGAGCATTGGTTCTAAAACAACATTACAGATCAGCAACCTTAATCTGGGTATAAGGACAGAAATACCCCTACGCTAACACTCCCCCTCAAGCTATACTCACCAGCTTGTTACATATGTAGTCCACTCTTCCCCGACTCGAGCCTTTTGTAAATAAGTCAGCCCACTGGTTTCCTGTATTAACATATGTAGTGTCTAACTCTCCATTCAGCACCTTCTCCCTCACAAAGTGACAGTCAACTTCAATGTGCTTGGTTCTTTCATGAAACACCGGATTAGAGGAAATATGAACTACAGCCTGATTGTCACAATAGAGCTTCATTAGAGTATGGATGTTATACCCTACTTCCTGTAGAAGGTTCCTTAGCCACACTAATTCACAAGCAGTGTGTGCCATAGCCCTATATTCTGCTTCTGCACTACTTGCCACGACCGTCAGATTCTTACTTTTCCATGTCACCAGGTTACCTCCTAAGAAAGTGCAATAGCCTGTAGTAGACCGCCTATCAGACATAGAACCGGCCTAGTCAGCATCAGAATACCCTTCTATTTCAAATTTTCCGCCGCTCTTGTATATCAGACTGCGACCCAGAGCCCCTTTTAAATACCTCACAATTCTCAGAACTGCACTCCAATGAGGAATCAGAGGTTTCTGCATGAATTGGCTTACCACACTAACCGCAAATGAGATGGCTGGTCTAGTAATGGTTAGGTAGTTCAGTTTACCCACAAGTCGTCAATATCTGCCAGGGTCTTCAAACACTTCACCCATATCACTGCTTAACCTGGTATTTGTGTCCATAGGTGTTTCAGTTGGTTTAGCACCCAACAAGCCTGTTTCTTCCAACAAATCAAGCACATATTTCCTCTGGCACAAATTAATACCATACTTGGATCTTGCTACCTCTATCCCCAAGAAATATTTCAGTTTACCAAGATCCTTTGTCTRAAAATGATCCTGYAGATAAGTCTTCAGCCTGTCAATACCCATGTTATCATTTCCGATGATAACAATATCATCTACATACACCACCAACAGTATTTTTCCTCCCGGAGAGTCATGACTAAATACAGAATGATCAACTTTGCACTGTTTCATACCAAACTTCTTCACTACCTCACTGAACCTACCAAACCATGCTCAAGGAGACTGTTTAAGCCCATTTATAGCCTTCCTTAGTCTGCACACCTTACCATCCTCCCCCTGAGCAGCAAACCCTAGAGGTTGCTCCATGTAGACCTCCTCGAGTAAGTCACCATGCAAAAAGGCATTCTTGTTATTAACCTGATATAGCGGCCAATCATACATGGCTACAAGAGAGATCACAACACGAACTGACCATATCTTAGCAACCAGTGAGAAGGTCTTTGTGTAGTCAATACCATAGGTTTGGGAGTACCCTTTTGCAACCAATCGCGCTTTCAGGCATTCAACACTACCATCAGGCAGATACTTAACCGTATAAACCCATTTACAACCAACAGCTTGCTTCCCAGGAGGAAGAGCGGTGAGGTCCCAAGTATGATTATGATGAAGGGCAGAGAGTTCTTCTTCCATCGCTCGGCACCACCCTGAGAGGCAAGGACTTCCTGGACATCCTTAGGGACAACAACTGATGATAACAAGGTGACAAACTGGCGATGGGAAGCGGAAAGGTAAGTGAAACATAACTAGAAATGGGATGAAGGGTGCAAGTACGTTTACCTTTCCGCAAGGCAATGGAGAGATCAAGCTTAGATGCTGAGTGCGGGTCTGGTGCCGGATCTGTCGACGGAGATGTAGCCGGGGAGTAGTAGCTGGTACGCGTGGACGATGTGTATACACATGACGGATAGGTGGGCGTTCAACAGGTGGTGGCACCGAAGGCAGGGTTTGGTCACGGATGGAACAAGGGGAAGAGGGTCGGCAACGGGAAGTGGAAGAGGAGGTGATGAAGAGAAGTATCACCGAACCCCAAAAAGAACGGAGTAGACCCAAAGAAGGTGACATCAGCACACACAAAGGACCGTCGAGAACTAGGATGGTAACACCTATACCCTTTCTGGGTCCAAGAATAGCCAAGGAAGATGCACTTGAGAGAACGGGCATCAAACTTGTCATTCCCGGGACCCAGATTATGGACGAAGCAGACACACCCAAATACCCTAGGCGTAAGAGGAAACGGAGACAAAGCGGGAAACAAGACCGTAAACGGAGAATGACCATCAAGGATGAACGTGGGCATCCGATTAATCAGAAAGCAAGAAGTAAACACTGCATCACTCCAAAAGGGTGTAGGAACATTCATGTGATGCATTAGGGATCGTGTTGTTTCCAGGAGAAGGCGATTCTTCCTCTCAGCCACCCTGTTTTGTTGTGGGGTGTAGGTACATGAAGTCTAATGTATAATGTCATGTTGGTCCAGGTATTCTTGAAATGATGAGGATAAATATTCACGGYCATTATYARAAYRGAAAACTTTRAYGTGRRTACCAAATTGATTACGAATCTCAGCATAAAATTTCTGAAAATTTGTAAACAATTCACTTCTTTCTTTCATTAGATAGAGCCACGTCATCCTTAAAAAATCATCTA